ACATGAACATTAGCGTCCATAATGCTCTGGATGGGATCGGACTGACGGTAGCGCATGTTTAATCCAAAGTTTTTGTTGTTGTGATTAGCGTCACACTACTGCGTTTTGGTGTTATAAACCTACAATACTTCCATGAACGATGGGAACGTTGTTTCGACGAGTGTGTCTTTCGAAATTCGAGATTATCAGGTTGTTCCCTAGCTTTTCTTTAATCCAAAAATAATTGGAAAGATTGGATAATTTTATTGCATATCGTCTGGTAAATGTGAACAATGAAATTTACATTGCATGCATAATAACCATATTTGCAAAGTCATTGAAAATCTATAGCTGTTATAATTATGTTTCATGCAAGGCTTTGATAGGACAGTTTTCTCTTGACAAACTCAAAGACTCTGAGATTCACTGTCTCCGAGGGTGTAAATCGGACTATTTGTCATGGGTGGTTAGATTCTGAGATTTCATTGTCTCCGAGGGTGTAAATCGGACTATTTGTCATGGGTGGTTAGATTCTGAGATTTCATTGTCTCCCGGGTCCTGTCAATCGGATTCCATTATTTACAGGTAATATGATATAACTGGAACAATGCAGATTGTGGCATGAAATGACGTATATACCAACCACAGTTTTCCAGGAAGGAAACATATCCTGGAATGTTGCTATAAGCAGCGTAAAATCTTACCCATTCACTCACATTCTTTGCTATTAGAAAGAAAACAATGAAATCCCCCAAAGAGGACGTTGACCGTGGGTATGCCTGGGTGGTCCTCGCTGCTTGCTTCACTATCGAGTTCTCCTACGGCCTTTTGATAAGTTCTGTTGGGGTGCTCACACCGGCGTTTCTGGAGGAAATTGACGGTGACTTGGTCAAAGTGTCATGGATTGGATCAACTCTGTTGGGGACATTTACAATGTGTGGTGAGTGTATTTCTGATGTTCATGATTCAACGTTGATATATTATATGTAGGCCCACACGAATACACTTTATTACACGCCCATGGACTGACTGACTGAGTTTTGGTTTTACCCCGCTTTTAGCAATATTCCAGCAATATCACGGCGGGGGACACCAGAAATGGGCTTCACTCATTGTACCCATGTGGGGATTCGAACCCGGGTCTTCGGCGTGACGAGCCAAACGCTTTAACTGCTAGACTACCCCACCGCCCCACACGCCCATGGAAGATACTGAAGTGTAATAGTTTTATGGCAATATCACACTAGTGTAATACTGCTAGACATATGACGTCATAATGGTTTACAGTAATGATATCACAATGCTATTATCTCTGTCACACTGGCGTTAGACTTTGCTTGACTCGCGGAAAGCTGAGAGTCATTACATTGTAGGCAGTTTCTATCAATTTATGTTGGAGAGTAATAAACAGAATACTAAACTCGCTTCCGTGAAATACCATTTTCATTAAAATCGTGAAAGATTTAGTATCAAACTCGCTGTCGCTCGTTTGATACCAAATAATATATCATTAAATAAAAATAGTATTAAACTGAAGCGAGTTTAGTATTAGAGCAATGGACAGATGTGTTTGCTATAACTACTATATGGTATCATCATGTCCGGCTGTACTTTGCATGTCAAGTTTGGTACATTTACACAATGTGCTGTAAGGTAATACATGACTGCTCTAGTGTGAGGGAAACGAAAGTCAGCGCAGTACTGGGACATCATGGCAGAGGCCAATGCATAAATATTTCCGCTTAATTTGACAAATGACATTTGCTGAATGTTTGCCCTTTGTCATTTACTAGATTCTCCTGAAGGTCTCCGTTGGTTTGTATGAGGCGGAAAAATGGTCAAAGAATTATCTTACATATAAACATATAACACGTAATATATAACATACCTTACGTGTACCATGTAAGGTATAACGTGTAACATATAATATGTAATGCATAACACATAGCTTACATGTACCATGTGACGTAAACATATAACATGAAATATATAACTTGTAACATATAATGTTATAAGATTACAAGTTATATAATGTAACGTTTAACATACAGAATGTCATGTAATGTATAACATTATACACAGTGACATCATATGATATAACATGTAACGTCTACGACGTAACGAATATCATGTAATTTACAACATGCAACGTGTAACATACAACATGACATTTAATGTGTAACTGCATAAGGTATAACATGCAACGTTATGTAACATATACCGTGCAACATATGCCATACAACGTATAACATGCTGCATGTAACATAATATTATATGCAAGGTATAACATATAACATGCAACGTATAACATATAACGTCACAACGTATAACTTGCTTCATATATCATAATATTATATGCAAGGTATAACATATAACATGCAAGGTATAACATATAGCTTATTTCGTGGCATATTTAACGCTTCCACCACGTATCTCACAACGCTTGCGGCACTGACTGTGTTCTCGGATAAATGTGATGACACCGACATCGTTGCTGGTGCTTCATACATCATACTCATGTTTACTTTTTGTGGGTAAATATATAAAAGAAGCTAAGCTATTGTTCACACACGTAATCGTATCCCAATTGCGTAGATCGATGCTCATGTTGTCAATCACTGGATTATCTGGTCCAGACTCGATTATTTACAGACCACCGCAATATAGCTGTAATATTGCTGAGTGTGGCGTTAAACAACAGCCAATCAAACCAACAACCCTGAATGTTCAATCAGACAAGAGTTGTGGTAAATCGGTCGCTGTGATATTGCAACCCATGCTTGTCGTAAGTGGCGACTAACGGGATCGGGTAGTCAAGCTCGCAGACTTTGTTGACACACGTAATTGTATGAATGTTCAATCAGACAAGAGTTGTGGTAAATCGGTCGCTGTGATATTGCAACCCATGCTTGTCGTAAGTGGCGACTAACGGGATCGGGTAGTCAAGCTCGCAGACTTTGTTGACACACGTAATTGTATGAACACGTAATTGTATGAATGTTCAATCAGACAAGAGTTGTGGTAAATCGGTCGCTGTAAATCGGTCGCTGTGATATTGCAACCCATGCTTGTCGTAAGTGGCGACTAACGGGATCGGGTAGTCAAGCTCGCAGACTTTGTTGACACACGTAATTGTATGAATGTTCAATCAGACAAGAGTTGTGGTAAATCGGTCGCTGTGACATAGCAACCCATGCTTGTCGTAAGTGGCGACTAACGGGATCGGGTAGTCAAGCTCGCAGACTTTGTTGACACACGTAATTGTATGAATGTTCAATCAGACAAGAGTTGTGGTAAATCGGTCGCTGTGACATAGCGACCCATGCTTGTGACATATGGTTTTAATTCTCGGCTGTTCCTGACTTTATACTGACGATAATTGTGACACACGTAATTGTATGAAAGTTCAACCGCTACAGCTGTGGTAAATCGCAATCTGTGACATTCCTAAACTGCATGTTTATATACTGACGATAAGCCATGTTCTCACCGCTATAGCGTGAATACAGCATAAGTAACCAGGAAGTATTATGAAACATACAACTTTTTTTTATCGATGACAACTTCTTGTTTATTGCATAGAGCAAACATTGTGGACGAAGTACTCACCTTGATGGGTCCATTCTCAGTTACATATATCGGTAGCCATGGCAATGATAAAAACGCATTTTGCACTTTCGACATTTATTGCATGGAATGAATAAAGCCAGACGGTAAATAGCAGATATGCGATTTGAACATGACCTTGTGTTAATGAGGTTTCATTGTATTAATCATTAATAGTGTTAAAACGAAAAATTAATACATACAATACATACATTTTTTCAGGTCCATTTGTAGGAAGTATTGAAGGCCGACTCGGACACAGACTGGCCAGTTTGCTGGGCGGAATCATGATACTTGTAGGACTGACATCCGCATCCCTCTGCAGAACTGTGACTGGACTGATTCTCACCTTCGGTGTAATAACGGGTGAAGTATAAACCAAAATATACCACAAGTCAGGAAATATTAATTTTGGTGTAAAAATATTTTATTCTAAAAAAATCTGGCTTAGTAAACAAACAAACCGTTTCTTCCATTAATACCCCACCACCACATATATCATCTGTGACGTTAAATATTAACTCACTCACTCACTCACATATATCATCTAAACAAAATACACACGAACTCGATACACAAAAGCGACAAATGAAATCATACAAGTGCATTATGCACCTTGAACTTGCAGTTACATTTCATTAATTGTGTACACATATTGTCCAGAATAATTTATCAAATTGTTTAGCCTTAAAGATGTATTGATGCAGGGAAGCTATTCTGTTCTTTTTTGAATCTGTTGATCCGGGTTAGAATTAATCTTCAGTAACTCATGCGTGTCGTAAGAGGCGACTAACAGGATCGGGTGTTCAGGCTGACTGACTTGGTTGATACGTGTCATCGTATCCCTGCTAAAATCGACTCACTCGGTCTACTTTTAAGAGGGTTTATCTCACTGCTGTGGCTTAAACTGCTTAGGTGAGGTAAGGATAAAACTAACTCACTTTTGACATTGTTGCTGGCTGGAGGTATTCCATATAACACAATTTGGAGGCTGTGGCCATTTACATAGAAATATTTATTTTAAGAACTGTATAAACTAAAATATTATTTTATGCAGATAATGACAAAAATTGTTTGACATTCTAGAAGTTGGTGAGTCAATAATTAAGCAAACAATTTTACGGATGACAACTTCTTGTTTATAGCATAGAGCGACTATTCGGATTGATAGCGATGTAAGAATCTACATCGAAACGTCGCTTCATGCAATAAAGAAGAAGTTGTCATCCATAAAGTTGTCATGTTTCATTGATGACAGAAACGTCGTGCAAATATATCGTATATCAATATATAATATTTTAGTTTTCAAGAGCTGTATGTCGTTCTTTGAGGTTTTTAATGGCCTCAAACAAACTTTAGCCGTACGTGCAGTGCGCTTGGTTAGTCATGAGACATTTATGAACTTGGTGCGTCTTTTGGATTCGATGGGTAGCAGCTCGTTCATTGTTTGGTATCATGCTTGTACTTTTACATCTTTCTTAACTCGAGACTTTACTTATATATTTTACTCAGGTTTAGGTTGTGGCCTGGCTGCTAATGTGAGTGGTGTGGCTCCCAGCAACTACTTCAAAAAGAGACTCCCAGTGGCGTACGGTATCTGCATGTCTGGAGGTGCATTAGGACTACTTGTAGTCGGTCCATTAACGGTATTTCTGTTGGAAGTGTATACCCTGTCCGGAACGCTGCTAATTTTGGGTGCCATCGGATTCCATGTATGCTTAGCCGGAGCTCTGCTTAGACCATCGTCTACACTGATGCTTGAGATAGCAGTTTCAGAAGATGACACTGATAGTTGTGTAGATGTACCACAAGGACCTGCTGAGTGTGTAGATGTACCACAAGGACCTGCTGTGTGTAGAGATACCCCACAAGGATGTGCTCAGTGTGTAGATGTACCACGAGGACCTGAACATCTATGTGCACAGAGTGAGACAATTGTTACTCTTTCCCACCAGGAAGATGACGGACATATCTTCTTGTCAACAGATAATAATGATGACACTGACGCACGCACTCCCTACTCTGGTACTTCGAAAGAAAACAATTCAGGGACAGAAAATGCAGCTGTTGTACCTCTGCTGGAACAGAACTCACCTTCGTCAAAGACACATTCACGGTGCAGGACAATAAGAGAACGTGTAGCTTCATATGGCGCAAATGGATTCTTCCTTTACCTCCTCAGTGCCCTATTTTGGTCTCTTTCTGACGCTACCTGCATGGTTCATCTACCAAATTATGCTGAATTAAAAGGTAGTACACCGGCACAGGCCGCGAGTCTGTTTACAGGAATGGGCATAGCTGCTCTTTTCTCTGGATTGCTTACTGGCTTGGCCTCATCTGATAAAGCTATTGGCAGCTTACTACTTCATGTTGGATTTGAAGGAATGTGTGGGGTGTCTGCAGTGCTACTCCCCGTGCTATCAGATACATATCATCTCCAAATGGTTGCCTGTGTGTTATATGGTATATATAGCCAAGGACCATATACGTTAGTAAGTCCTATATGCATTGAACTGATAGGGCGATCTAAACTGGCTGTTGCATATGGAATATGGGCTTTTGTCTTAGGAATCGGCTTATTGTTTGGGCCACCTATTGCAAGTAAGTAAAGCTTGGAATGTTTAGTGAGTGAGTTTGGTTTTACGCCGCTTTTAGCATTATTCCAGCATCATCACGGCGGGGGACACCAGAAGTGGGCTTCACACACTGTACCCATGTGGGGAATCGAACTCGGGTCTTCTCGTTACAAGCGAACGCTTTAACCACAAGGCAACCCCACCGCCCATCTACTTAGTCAATGAGTCTTAATGCGATTGTTGACGAAACATTTATGTCGCAGCAGTCTATAAACTTTGTCATCACTGGGCACATATTCGAATGTAAGTCTCGAGAGGCGCTACTTCCGGTACTAAGCTGGTTACAGGTTCCCTTTGCGACCGCCGACTTGCGATATGCGAGACGGGCTCAAACTTACTTCCGGTACCGGATTTCCGGTAACAAGCGTGTACTCAAGAACCAGTTCTGGTTCCAAATTGCTTGACCGCCAAAAGCGATTTTACTAGACCGGACCAAGTGTTCAACCATGCTTAGCTGTCGTATCAGTTGGCTAATTTGGGGATAATTGGATCTGAAATTTGTTATTCCTTTAAGGATTATCGGTTCCTTACAGTCAACTGACAACCATGAGACAATTCGAAAAGGTATGAAACGTTGTTTGTCACTTTAAGATCTAAGGTCTCGCGAAGTGCCGTGACCTAAAACATTATAGCATCTTGAAATTGGAAAAGCCCAAGGTTACGACGGTGACAAGAACACGAATCTTATATATGTGCACTTGGTTACATATTTGAAATGACTTTTGACTTCAGGTGTTATTATATGCAAATGATTGCTAAAGCATAACCATATTTGTTCCAGGTCTAATATACGAAAACAGCGGAGATTATGACTACACGTTTCTTTTTGCGGGTAATGGAACACAATAAGTGATTTTTTTATTTGGAAAATGAAAGTAAACATAAACAGCTGAATGTTACGTTCACACACTAACATCCGAATGTCAGTTTGAAAGTTATTTACGTCACGTCATTGTGATATTCAAACATTTGATCTGAATTAATGTTGTTTAATGCTGAACAGGTTAAACTGGTTTGGATAGCATCAAAGATATAATATTGAAACCGATTTGGTCATCCTGATTATTGCATGCTCTTTTCGGGCAGATTTGAGTTTCCTGATACCATACAAGTCATCACACCAGAATATGCTTTGTCTTCAGTTATCTATGTCTGTGTCTACCTTTGTTCATGGGTCACCGTTGTCTTCTTTCAGGATGCTGCAATCTCACCAGTGCCGTCTTCGCCATGTGTATACCTCTGTTCAAAAAGGATATATGAGTGTGCATCGTGTGTGTGTGCGTGCGTTCGTGCGTGCGTGCGTGTGTGCAGTAATGGGACGGAACTGAAACTCTTAGGATGCAAGATTATTGACACAACAGAACGCGATTTCACAATGGACTCTTTGACTATTGAATGCGTTAAGATTTCACAGTACAGAGTAAAACCTTTTTGCAAAACGTGTTTATATATTTTTCAAATTCGTGTCGCATTATGGTCCGTTTCATGGACCCTCCTAAGCCTTACATGCTCATTGATGGAGGTTTGTATCTCAGCAAGCATCTAATGTCAGAGTTTTAGATACAAAATGTCAAGGTTATTGATTCATATAGAAACTGTTGCGATGTCACTTACATGTGACCTGGTCACTACCTGTGTAAGTTTCATCTTAGTATTCATCCAAGATACAGAAATGCCAAACAGTAAACCTTTTTCATCATGTCTATATGTGATGTACATGTTTTAAGTTGATAAGCATGGAAAAATAAGCATACCCTGTACTTATCTATCTGATTATCTTGGGCAACAATACTGAAGGATAAACACACTGGAATTTGTATGATATCAAGAAATTTTAAGAAATCTTACAAATCGGAATCCTAAACAACACCATCTGGAAAGAAGTGCATGTTCGCCATTACTGCTCCAATGGTGTGGATGACAGCATGCCGGATGCCAGTAAACATTTCAAGTGGTATGGGTGACGCCTGGGATGTTGATGCTTACGTCACCAAAATGATGTCAGATGCATTTACATATTCACTTTTATCACATGTTGTCATTGCAGTAATAAAATATGTTAAAGAACATAGATATGGGCTTCTTCTTAAATTCTCCATATAAATGTACAATTCTCCTCTATCTGTCATGGCAAATTGAACAAATGGAATAATGGATGTAGCCAGTCTTTATAAATGGAGGTAATAGCTTTGGTTGAGTGAGTGAATGTAATTTTTCACCGCTTTTAGCAATACTCCAGCAATATGATAGATTTCATTTTTGTGTGGAATCGAACACGGGTCTCTGGCGCAACAACTGAACGCTTTGACCACTAGGCTACTCCACCGCGCCGGTAATAACTTGGAATTACAAAGTAAACCTATTTTAAACAAACATATGTACCACAATGGGCAGAGGTCCAGTTGATATTCCCTGGACATAAACAAACGAGGCAGCTTATGTTTATTGCTATCAAAGTGACATTGTATTTCCCCTCAAGGATCATAGGTGTCCCTCGCCGTGATGTTGCTGGAATATTGCTAAGAGCTGCGTAAAACCATACTCACTCACTCACAGCCAACAATGACAGAACCATTTTTGAAGAGACTAAACCAGATTATGCCGACAAATATTTGATCCATAATAATGTGAAGAGGAAATCAGTTTCTGTACAGGAGAATTTAATATCACAAACACAAAAATGTAACCAGTGTGATTTCTCTTCTACGTCAAGTATTATTATGAGGGTAATCAATTATTTGTTTTTCTTTGTTGTTTAAGGTCAAACCCAGAAATATTCCAGCTATATGGTGGTGGTTTGTAAGTAATCGAGTCTGATCCAGACAATCCAGTGATCAACAGCATGAGCACCGATCTGTGCAATTAGGATACGATGACACGTGTCAACCAAGTCAGTCAGCCTGACCACCCGATCCCGTTAGTCACGTCTTACGACAAGCATGGGTTGCTGAAGATTAATTCTAACCCGGATCTTCACGAGTCTAGTGCAGAACATGCTTACACCGGAATTCGTTGGATGTTCAAGGCTGTCTTTATTTTCTCTCGCGTTGACGTGTTACGTTGGTCGATCTCTTAGTTAAATGAGTTAAATATCCTTACCTCACCCTCTTAAAAGTCGACCGAGTCAGTCGATTTTAGCAGGGAAGCGATGACATGAGTCAACCAAGTCAGCGAGCCTGACCACCCGATCCCGTTAGTCGCCTGTTACGACAAGCATGGGTTGCTGAAGATCAATTCTAGCCTTGATCTTCACTGGTGTAACAAAGTAAGGATAACAAAGAGGCAGAGTGGAGTTTTCCCTGGCTACGACAAGCATGGGTTGCTGAAGATCAATTTTAGCCTTGATCTTCACTGGTGTAACAAAGTAAGGATAACAAAGAGGCAGAGTGGAGTTTTCCCTGGCTACGACAAGCATGGGTTGCTGAAGATCAATTCTAGCCTTGATCTTCACTGGTGTAACAAAATAAGGATAACAAAGAGGCAGAGTGGAGTTTTCCCTGGCTACGACAAGCATGGGTTGCTGAAGACCAATTCTAACCCGGATCTTCACAGGTAGAGACAAGCATGGGTTGCTGAAGACCAATTCTAACCCGGATCTTCACAGGTAGAGACAAGCATGGGTTGCTGAAGACCAATTCTAACCCGGATCTTCACAGGTAGAGACAAGCATTGGTTGCTGAAGACCAATTCTAATCCGGATCTTCACAAGTAGAGACAAACATGGGTTGCTGAAGACCAATATTCTAACCCGGATCTTCACAGGTAGAGACGAGCATGGGTTGCTGAAGACCAATTCTAGCCTTGATCTTCACAGGTAGAGACAAGCATGGGTTGCTGAAGACCAATTCTAACATACATACATACATACAAATACTTGTATAACGCCAATATCCGTAATCCGCTCAAAGGCGCTCTGGCTCTAAGATGGTCTAGATATCACATAGAGTTCAAATGCTTCAGCAAAGAGACACGTCTTCAGATTTGATTTAAAAACAGCTAAGTCTGGTTGTGTTCTGAGGTGAGATGGAAGATTGTTCCAGAGATGAGGGCCAGTCGTCTCGAGTGACCTGTCACCATATGTTTTTGTCCTAGTCACAGGAATTGTCAAAAGACACTGGTCATTTGATCGGAGGGAACGTACAGGAGTATAACGGTGGAACAGAGCACAGAGGTACTGAGGTGCTAGACCATGTAAACTTTGAAAACAAGGAGTAGAGTTTTATATTTTATGCGGTAGTGGACGGGAAGCCAATGAAGTGAGTGAAGAACGAGAGTAATATGGTCTGATTTCTTTGACTAAGAGACCACTCTGGCTGCAGTATTCTGCACCTTCTGAAGCTTGTGTATAAGATAATTTGGGAGGCCCACAAGAAGCGCATTACAGTAGTCAAGACGAGATGTTACATATGCCTGAATAAGAGATGCTGTAGTCTTGACGTCCAGGTATCGTCGAATCATGCCGATGTTGCGAATGTGGTAGTACGCCCTTCTACAGATGTTATTGATGTGTGGCTCCATGGACAGTGAAGAATAAAAAAATAACTCCCAAGTTTCGTACCTCATGGTTTGGCTGAATCTCACACTGACCGATGCTGAATTTAGGAAGAGAGATACTGGGTTGGAGACGCTTAGGGTGGAAAACTATGAGTTCAATTTTATCATCATTCAGTTTGAGGTAGTGTGACGACATCCAGATTTTGATGCAGCTGACACACTCTTCAATGGTGAGAAATGAAGACACAGCTGATGAGGAAAGTAAGGGTTTGAATGATATGTAAATTTGAGTGTCGTCAGCATATAAATGCAGTCCAAGGTTGAAGGATCTGACGATATCACCTAGAGGAGAAGTATAAATAGTGAAAAGTAGAGGTCCAAGAACCGATCCCTGGGGCACGCCATAAGCAAGATCCTTAGGACTGGAGATGTGACCATCAATGATCACCGATTGATGTCTATCTGCTATGTATGACTCAAACCACTGAAGAGCAGTTCCTCTAATACCCATCCTGGTCTCAAGTGTATGCATCAGAATAGTATGGTCGATAGTATCGAAGGCACTACTCAAATCAAGTAGAACCAATACTGCAGCACCATCTTTGTCTACGGCTCTCAGTATGTCATTGTGCACTTTAACGAGTGCGGTTTCCGTGGAGTGGAAATTCCGGTATGCTGATTGCATGACTTCGAAACACCCATTTAAGGTCATGTGTTCCTTGAGTCTTGTTGTGACCACACGCTCAATCACTTTTGAGGTGAATGGTAAATTTGTGACTGGCCGATAATTTTTCAAGAGCTCTTTATCTAAACCTTTCTTCTTCAGGAGTGGAGTTACAACTCCATTTTTCAATGTATCCGGCATCATTCCTTCCTGAAGAGATTTATTGACAACAGAGGTCAATATAGGGGCAAAGGTATCCAGAGAGTTCTTAAGAAGCCATGTAGGTATAGGGTCAAGAATACATGACTTTGTCGGTGACTTAGAAACAAGTTTCACAATCTCTGCTTCTGACCCGGATCTTCACAGGTAGAGACAAGCATGGGTTGCTGAAGACCAATATACTAACCCCGATCTTCACAGGTAGAGACAAGCATGGGTTGCTGAGGACCAATTCTAGCCTTGATCTTCACTGGTGTAACAAAATAAGGATAACAAAGAGGCAGAGTGGAGTTTTCCCTGGCTACGACAAGCATGGGTTGCTGAAGACCAATTCTAACCCGGATCTTCACAGGTAGAGACGAGCATGGGTTGCTGAAGACCAATTCTAACCCGGATCTTCACAGGTAGAGACAAGCATGGGTTGCTGAAGACCAATTCTAACCCGGATTTTCACAGGTAGAGACGAGCATGGGTTGCTGAAGACCAATTCTAACCCGGATCTTCACAGGTAGAGACGAGCATGGGTTGCTGAAGACCAATTCAAACCCGGATCTTCACAGGCAGAGACAAGCATGGGTTGCTGAAGACCAATTCTAACCTGGATCTTCACGGCATGTAATCAGTTTTCAATAGTACAGTTGTCATAGCTGTTTTGACTCAGCTGTTACAGTGTATTTTCCAACTCACGTATGTACGGTTCTTTGTATGCATACAAATATAATCTAATTTAGGTAGCACAGCTCGCTGCGGCTGTAATATTGGCAAATTATGTGATCTGCCATGTATAAGCATTCATCTTTTCAGGATAGTGAGGAACACACGGAGGATATTTTATAAAGGAATACCTGTTATATTTGAAACAAGACATGAGTATTCCAAGTACAAATATTGACCATGGATATGCCTGGGTAGTTCTTGGTGCTTGTTTCACTATCGAGTTCCTCTGTGGCGCATTGATCTGCTCTGTTGGGGTGCTTACACCAGCGATGTTGGAGGAAATTGACGGTGACTTGGTCAAAGTGTCATGGATTGGATCAACTCTGTTGGGGACATTTTCAATGTGTGGTGAGTATTTCTGAAGTTCATGATGCAACACTGATGTATTATATGTAGGGCAACTATAACACACTTTATTACCCATATAGTGAAACATAACTCGTGTCCTATATATCATATGTGCACATGTGCACATACCACTTTTGCCTACCAACCATTGTTTCTGTATTTCGTCGTCTGTGACGTCATTACACAATTGAACGTGACGTCAATGAACACTTGCTTTCCGTGTTTTACTGCACAAATGTACATGAATTAAATGGATAATAAAGAAATTATTACACTCGAGCAAGTGTGTCATATGACTTATACTGTGACAAAATGTCACATTCGTTTCGTATAAGTCGTGTGACATACCTGCTCGTGTAATAATCTCTGTTTATTACTATCGGACGATACGCAGCGTAATAGTTTTACGGCGCATTATTACACTAGTGTAATACCGCCAGACGTATGACGTCATAATGGTTTACAGCCACAATGCTGTCACAATGGCATAAGACCTTGCTTGACTCGCGGAAAGCTGAGAGTCATCACACTGTGGGCAGTTTCTGTCAATTTATGTTGGAGAGTAATAAACAGAATACTAAACTCGCTTCCGTGAAATACCATTTTCATTAAACTCGTGAATGATTTAGTATCAAACTCGCTTTCGCTCGTTTGATACCAAATCATATATCATTTCATAAAAATGGTATTACACGGAAGGTCGTTTGGTATCCTCTATTACAGCAATGGACAGTTGTGTTTGTTATAACTACTATATGGTATCATCATGTCCGGCTGTACTTTGCATGTCAAGTTTGGGACATTTACACAATGTGCTGTAGGGTAATACATGACTGCACTAGTGTGAGGAAAACGAAAGTCAGCGCAGTACTGGGACATCATGGCAGAAGCCAATGCATAAATATTTCCGCTTAATTTGACAAATGACATTTGCTGAATGTTTGTCCTTTGTCATTTACTAGATTCTCCTGAAGGTCTCCTTTGGTTTGTATGAGGGGAATAAATGTTCAAAGAATTATCTTATATATTAACGGATAACACGTAATATATAACATACCTTACGTGTACCATGTGAGGCAAACATAGACCATGTAACATATAACACGTAATATATAACACATGTCTTACATTCCCATGTGACGCAAACATATAACATGTAACATATAACACGTAATATATAACATATATTTTACATGTACCATGTGACGTAAACATAGACCATGTGACATATAACACGTAATATGTAGCACATATTTTACATGTACGTATGTGACATGAAGGTATAACATGTAATAATGCGTAATACATAACACACATACGTGTACCATGTGACGTAAACATAGACCATGTACCATGTTGCGTAAACAAATAACACGAATTATCTAACAGACACCTTACATGTACCATGTGACGTAAACATATAGCATGAAATATATAACTTGTAACATGTAATGTTACAAGTTATATGATGTAACGTTTAACATACAGAATGACATGTTATGTATAACATTATACACATCATATATAAATGTAACGTCTAAAACGTCTAACGAATGTCATGTAATTTACGACATGCAACGTGGAACGTATAACATGACTTTTAATGTGTAACATATAGCATGAAACAAACTACATAACGTATAACATGCAACGTTATATAACATAATATTATATGCAACGTATACCATATAACATGCAAGGTATAACATATAGCTTATTTCGTGGCATATTTAACGATTTCACCATGTATCTCACAACGCTTGCGGCACTGACGGTGTTCTCGGATAAATGTGATGACACCGACATCGTTGCTTGAGCTTCATACATCATACACATGTTTACTTTTTGTGGGTAAATATATACAAGAAGCTAAGCTATTGTTGACACATGTAATCGTATCCCAATTGCGTAGATCGATGCTGTTGTCAATCACTCGATTATCTCACCCGGAATCAATTATTTACAGTTGAAACAACAGCCAATCAATCCAACACACCAGAATGTTCAATCACACAAGAGTTGTCGTAAATCGGTCGCTGTGACATAGCGACCCATGCTTGTCGTAAGTGGCGACTAACGGGATCGGGTAGTCAAGCTCGCAGACTTTGTGGACACACGTAATTGTATGAATGTTCAATCAGACAAGAGTTGTGGTAAATCGGTCGCTGTGACATATGTTTAATCAGACAAGAGTTGTGGTGACTATAAGTTTCTCCCGACTTCACGTTGTGGACACACGTAATTGTATGAATGTTCAATCAGACAAGAGTTGTGGTAAATCGGTCGCTGTGACATAGTTTTAATTCTCGGCTTTCCTGTTTTATACTGACGATAATTGTGTTGTTAAAGGCCACCGCTACAGCTGTGAATACGCAATCTGCAGATATTCTTAAACTGCATGCTATCGACTGACATGAGCCATGTTCTCACCATACGGCAGTATAAGTAACCAGGAAGTATTTTGAAACATACAACTTTATGGATGACAACTTCTTGTTTATTGCATAGTGCAACGTTTCGATGTAGATTCTTACATCCTTATCAAGTTAAAGTAACTACAACCAAATGATGAGAAGTATATCTACTTGGTATATTATGACAAACAAAAGGTTAACATTTAACAACAGCATGTAATTGACTAACAAGTGGTACATAACTGGGAGAGGCCAGAGACTAAGAACAACAAACAGCACTGGGTGATGAAGCCAGTAAACAAGGGGGACTAAGTAGTAGCAACAAGCTGATAGGGTCTATAGTTAGAGTCGATAGTTAGTAAGTATTATGAATAAAACAGTTCAGTTTTCATACTTTGAATGCTCAAAGCAATATCAACCATTAAATGCTCACATTGACGACAAATAGCGGTATAGATGGTAATGATAAAAACCCATTTAGCACTGTCAACATTTATTGCATAGAATTAATAAAGCAAACCTGTAAAGAACGGATATGCGGTATGAACATGACCTTGTGTAATGAGGTTTCATTGTATTAATCATTAATAGTAATTAATACATACAATAAATACCTTTTTTCAGGACCATTTGTAGGAAGTATTGAAGGCCGACTGGGACACAGACTGGCCAGTTTTCTGGGCGGCATCATGATACTTGTAGGACTGACATCCGCATCCCTCTGCAGAACTGTGACTGGATTGATCCTCACCTTCGGTGTAATAACGGGTGAAGTATAAACCAAAATATACCACAAGTCAGCAAATATTTATTTAAAGAAAAACAGTATACACTGCAAAATGATTTTTGAAGATAATGACAGAAACTCCGAAACATCGCTTCATGCAATAAAGAAGACGTTGTCATCCACAAAGTTGTATGTTTCATTGATGACAGAAACATATCGTATATCAGTGTCTCAAATGTTTATTTTTTAAGTGTTGTATTTCGTTCTTTGAGGCTTTTATTTAACTCAAACAAACTTCAATCGTGTGTACATACTGTACATTTTGGTAGTCATGAGACATTTATGTTTGTTATGAACCAGGTGCGTCTTTTGGATCCGATGGATACCAGTTCGTACATTGTTTGGTATCATGCTTGTACTTTTACATCTTTCTTAACTCGAGACTTTACTTATATATTTTACTCAGGTTTAGGTTGTGGCCTGGCTGCTAATGTGAGTGGTGTGGCTCCCAGCAACTACTTCAAAAAGAGACTCCCAGTGGCGTACGGTATCTGCATGTCTGGAGGTGCATTAGGACTACTTGTAGTCGGTCCATTAACGGTATTTCTGTTGGAAGTGTATACCCTGTCCGGAACGCTGCTAATTTTGGGTGCCATCGGATTCCATGTATGCTTAGCCGGAGCTCTGCTTAGACCATCGTCTACACTGATGCTTGAGATAGCAGTTTCAGAAGATGACACTGATAGTTGTGTAGATGTACCACAAGGACCTGCTGAGCATGTAGATGTACCACAAGGACCTGCTGTGTGTAGAGATGCCCCACAAGGATGTGCTGATTGTGTAGATGTAACAGGAGGATCTGCTGATTGTGCAGATGAACCAGGAGGACCTGCTGAGTGTGTAGATGCACCAACAGGACCTGAAGATCTATGTGCACAGAGTGAGACAACTGTTACTCTTTCCCACCAAGAAGATGACGGACATATCTTCTCGCCAACAGATAATAATGATGACACAGAAGCACGCATTCCTGACCCTGGTACTTCGAAAGAAAACAATTCAGGGACAGAAAATGCAGCTGTTGCACCTCTGCTGGAACAGAACTCATCTTCGTCAAAGATACATTCACGGTGCAGGACAATAAGAGAACGTGTGGCTTCATGTGGCGCAAATGGATTCTTCCTCTACCTCCTCAGTGCCCTATTTTGGTCTCTTTCTGACGCTACCTGCATAGTTCATCTACCAAATTATGCTGAATTAAAAGGCAGTACACTGACACAGTCCGCGAGTCTGTTTACAGGAATGGGCATAGCTGCTCTTTTCTCTGGACTGCTTTCTGGCTTGGCCTCATCTGATAAAGCTATTGGCAGCATACTACTTTATGTTGGATTTGAAGGAATGTGTGGGGTGTCTGCAGTGCTACTCCCTGTGCTGTCACATACATACCATCTCCAAATGGTTGCCTGTGTGTTATATGGTATATATAGCCAAGGACCGTATACATTAGTAAGTCCTATATGCATTGAACTGATAGGCCGATCTAAACTGGCTGTTACCTATGGAATGTGGTCTTTTGTCTTTGGAATCGGCTTAATGTGTGGGCCACCCATTGCAAGTAAGTAAAGCTTGGAATGCGCATTCTCTTATGTACTTCGTGAGTCAATGAGCATCAATTTTAATGTGATCGTTGAATAAAATACAAGCTGTGAGCATCATTAATGAGCTGTTAAAACATTATGGCATATTGAAATTGGCTTAGAACACGAATCCTAGACACACGTATGTATGTGTGCATTATTACAATACTTGAAATGACATTTGACTTCAGGTGATGTAATAAGAAAATTATGGCTAAAGGATAACCATATTTGTTTCAGGTCTAATATACGAAAACAGCGGAGATTATGACTACACTTTTCTTTTTTTGCGGGTAATGGAACATAATAAGTGATTATTTATTTGGAAAATGAAAGTAAAGATAAACAGCTGAATGTTACGTTCACACACTAATCCCCGAATGTCAGTTTTGAAAGTTATTTACGTCACGTCATTGTGATATTCAAACATTTGATCTGAATGAATGTTATTTATTGCTGAACACGTTAACCTGGTTTGGATACCATCAAAGATATAATATTGAAACCGATTTGGTCATCCTGATTATTGCATGCTCTTTTCGGGCAGAAATGAGTTTCCTGATACCATACAAGTCATCACACCAGAATATGCTTTGCCTTCAGTTATCTATGTCTGTGTCTACCTTGGTTCATGGGTCACCGTTGTCTGCTTTCAGGATGCTGCAATCTCACCAGTGCCGTCTTCGCCATGTGTATACCTCTGTTCAAGAAAGACATATGA